CAATAGGGTCTTCAAAGGCATTGCCTACTACCCTAAATATACTGAACTATTTACCTATCTGAAATACGCTAGATGCCAATTTCTGACAATCAAAGCATAGGAATCGCATCTATCCTATGACAGATGAGCAATTTTACATATTCATCTGAAAGGATTCTAGAAAATAGGACAAGAGTGAGGTAGAGATTTAAATTTATGTGCACTCGAGTAAGGTGAATGGGAACTTACTCTTTTTAAAATCGCTATTGTCAACATGTCTGACGTAAGCTGAACTCTTTTTTACACTAATCACTTTTATGCGTGTGATACCGAGTTTTAGCCCGTATTTAAAGATACTCTTCCAAAATGTCTTACATGCTCATTCTCAACTTTTTCTGCTGGGTCTTACCCACGTTTTGGCAGACCTTAACTGGCCTCACAAATTATTGTATAGGTCTGCTGCTTTCAAGTTTTTGTGAGATCCCGGGAATATTGGTGTAATAGTTAATGTTTCATATGTTGGGCTACGAAAATCAGGAGTAAGGCTCTTCCTATACACAACTACGAGCTGGATAATCCGTGATTCCAAATATTAACCGAGTGTTCATGGGCAAAAATGTGAAGCGAGTGTAAGAAAGTGTAGGAAACAGGATGCTAGTTAAGTGATGTCATGGCTCGTATTAGGAGATACACTGCGGCATGTGACCTCATTTTATGACACTAGCGCGTAGGGACAAGCAATAACTACTGTGCGCATGAATGAGTAACTGTGCGAAAATGTTGTTGAAGGCCAATTAGGCCATACATTTGTAGCGAGTAGTTGCGTTGAAAGTAAGACAGCACCCCTACTTTCTCCAATTTCTTCCGACAGACATCTTAGTTGCCAGCGAAAACTCTGAATGTAAATTTTTCAGTCAGAGCTTTTAACTTCGTAGCTTTCCAGTTTTCCTAATGTTGAAGCCCCCTATCTAGTTATATCACTTTAATTCATAACCACTTATGTGCACTGTTTGAAGTTACAATAAACTATATACGGGATGGAGTAACAAAAGTTCAAACAACAAATTAATTATAAGTATACAAGTATGAATTTAAATTTGCCTGATATATTCCTTTTATTTTCTCTTCCGCGTCTTTGTAACGCCTCATTTGTATAAACCCTAGTATCAACGGGCCCGTAGTACAGAATTCCGGGCTTCCTTTCCATCGTGAGCCCTATAGTAGATTGTTGCCTTAGGCAGGAGCCGATAACGAACTTTCAGTGGTCCGGTGCTTCCTCTCAGAGGCAGAGAGAGAGGGAGGGTGTCCGTCGACTAACTAGGTTCCTGCTTCGTCGCAATTGTGGCTTACATGGATGACAAGGGTCACCGGATAAAAGTCAATCGAACGTTCCGAGAAACCTGTAAAATGCCGATGAAATACTCCACGTTTCTGCGGCAGTGAATACTTGTGACAGTAGAAGCAGTGACCATACGGCTAACCAAACATCTTTCTGCTCGCGCAAACAATTCATACGGCTTCTTAGGTTTTTCAGCCTGGAGACGAACTCAGCATGTGTGTTCACACCTCCCGCCATGGCACGCTACGGCAACGAAGCAGGAGCATAGTTAATTTGCAGTCTTCTCCTTCTCCTTCTCCTTTCACTCCCCTTATCCATCAGCCCACAATAGGACTAGATTATCACACCTTACCCCTGAACGTCCTCAACTCTCTTTCCCACATATTTACTGCTTATTTGACGTTTAAACTTTTTTTTTAAATTTACCGCGCCCTTATATTACTGCAAAGGTCTGATGATGGATAGTCGGAAGCTTACATTCGTCAAACTTGACTTCTCCAATATTGAAAGATGGTGTTCATTGGTTGCCTTTCATAATGCTTATGCGGCTCGAGTTAGAGCCCCTGCAGGCCACCACAGAGCAACCATATGGCGAGACAACGACGACGTGGCCACATAAACTAATAGTCGGGCCCCTCTCCCCTTCCCCCATTCTGGTCCCGTGAAAGGACTAGAATTTGAACCCCTGAACACCTCTCCCCCTTACTTACTGTTGATTGGATGCTTAAAGTTTCGTCACCCTACCCTTCATTATATTATTGTTGTTGCCTAATGATGAGTAATGGGAAAGGTGCGTTCACCAGGTGTGACTTTTAGGATGCTTAAATGGGTATCGTTGCTTAAATGCATTCAGAGTATCACAAAAGGTGTTCGCCTGTATCCTGAATCAAAACCTTACCTTAGTCATGTGAAACAGGTTATAATTATCGACCAAGTAGATTCCTATCCAAGCGGAGGCGACAATCCTTTCTCGTTTCGCCAAATCAAGGTTTTGGAAAGCCTAATACAAACGTTTCTTTCCTAGTTAGCATCAGCCAGCGAATAGAAGGCAGTAAGGCAATTCGAGGTAGGCCCTATCTCCATATGTCCCACATCCCCGTGTTACACAACTCCTGGATTCATGGTGGCCTAGGCTTTTAAATAATCTTCCGTTGCCGGCAGAATTTGAGAGCTGAAGCCGACTTTTTCCAGCCAGATCGGGTGATGTTAAGGATGACGGTTGGCTTCTTTTAGTTCTGCTTAATGAGTAATATCCACGAAAGAGGAGCTATAATTCGGTTTAGCTCGCAACTGATTTATACAAGCATTGGTTGAGGAAGAAGTTAAAATGATCTCTACGACCACTATTTTATTCCCCCGACGTTTTACATTTTCACACGTGTCCAGAGGTAAGCCAAAACGAAACTCGTCGCATAATTAGCCCACCCGTTCTTGCCAAGGCAAAACTTGGATTTCGACTGCGTGATTAGCTTAGCAAATGAGATGACAAAATTTCGCGCCTCCTGCAGGAAACGTGGCACTCATGATCCGTATACATATCGCTCTGCCAGCCACCTATAAACCAAATGGCATTTTCGGAGGAAGTGACCAAAATATTCATTCACATGTACAGTCCCTTCGTTTAATGACAATGGGCTCGCCTGCGAGTTTAAGAATTCCATCGAATAGGCTCCTGGTCCTCAAGATCGCTACTCGTCTTCTTCTGTTTAATCGCATGTTACCTGCCAAGCAAATTATTGCGCTATGGTAAATTCACATTCAAATATTGTGATGTATGTTTCAATTTTCTGCAAGGTGCCTGCTTCACGGGTCCGGTGTCAGTCCTACATTTAACCATCTTTGATAAATATCGACCCAACTGTCAAAACGATTTCGTCCCTGATGTTCTCTATATTCCACCGCACAGCCAACTTCGAAGCGCATGGCCTTAAGTCATTTAGATGTATCTCATGGGAACCGTGGCTACCCTCCGACACATACTTCTTTGCGAATTATTTTTATTTGCAGCAAAGGGGATAAATTGTAAAGAAAGTGGCTTCTGAACGCGGAAGGTCTTCTCTCATAAATTTTGATGATAATTTGGGGCAGGGGTTGAGGAGGGGCTGCAGCGAATGATGAAGAATGATTACAAGATACGCACAACTGAACACTCCCGCGGATCAGTGGGCGGGTCACACGCAACGGGTAAGGCAACGCGGACGTCGGCGTCACACTTCCACAAAAAAAACAACAGAAGCGGGAACAAAATTTTAACCGTTGCTTCGCAAGGAGTGCTCAGCTGATTGGCGTGCTAACAACCGCCTGACAATGCTACATACGAAAAATCGGGACTTTAGAGTGGAGTCTGTGGTGGGGTGGGGTGGACGAAAGTCAGCAGAGCGGGGAGCAGTGAATAATTGGGCTAAAAATCGCAGAAAATACTTCATTCTTTGACCTCACCCTCTGCCTTGGCCGCGGCCTCTTCAGCAGTAGGTTTCAGCTGGTCTCGCCATTCTGGTTTCTAGAAAAACGGACAAAGTAAAGTGCCATTACAGGGTAATAACTTTCTAAATCGACCTAAGGAAAAGCGCTCCTTTCAAGAAAAGAAAAAAAGCATCGCGAGAGGATCAGCACACAGAGAGAAAGTGAACTTTAGGCTAAAAGGGGGACGGAGGGGAATGAGAATCCACACTGTACCCGAACGTCATCCGAAGCGTTGCCCGCGCTCAGTGATTGGTTTACAACACACGCTCCTGCCCGCGAGGCATTGGCCGTCTCGATTTATCGACCAACTGCAAGTGCGCTTTGGCTCGCGCGCGAAGGCGAAGCTGCCACGCATAAGGTCACCTACGCCTTTTCCCCATTGGCAACTTCGCACACAAATGCCAAAAGGTAGTAAAATTGGCAGCGGACCGTTGATTAAATCTGCACACAGGGCAGGCCTATTTCTTCCTCCAGATAGACCATCCTAAGCGCGACTAGGATGCCGTCTGTTCGTTGCCTCTCCCTTTTACCCAAATACGCAGAGGCGCTCGCAGTCGCAAACAGCAAGATACTGTCCGCTACCCAGCATCACACAAAGAACGGAGAAGGCGTTTAAATTTCTTGCTACGATTAACGCGATTAGATTTTCTAAAATCAGTTACCCACTTTTGTCTCTATAATTTACGCGTTCCTTTACTGGAGTCTGTAGAAAAAGCCATTAGAAACCTTGCTACCTTTGATGAAAGATCATGTGACTTAATAATGGGTCTTATAGAACGAATAGATAGAACACTTTAAGAAGTAAGGGCGATACCGGATTATGGCAAATAGAACAGATCACAGGAGTACACACGCTGGTCGAGGCAGTTTTTGTCCGCGACAGCCAAACTATCTCCCTCCGCAATTTGTCGGGTTTATCACGGGAGGCACGACCGCCTTACTGTCCATGGGAGCAGATGCATACAATCAAAACCTATTTGAATCAACTTAGATTTGTCATCAGCTAAAGGCGCCAAATGAGAGGCCTTTCGATACCTCAACTACTTTTGTTTAATATTATATTGGAAGGTCTTTTGAGGGGAAGGTATGCGAACGGTGAAATTTAAATTTATTCTTCTCTAACGGGCTGGACTCCCACGCGAATCCTTCATCAGGGAAAACTATTACTTTACACTCGCCTTTTTTCACTAGTATCGTTAGGTGTTCTGAAGTTTAGTATGGACCTGACAAGGCAAGGTTTGCCTGAATTACTACCATCCATCGAGCTCGCTTCAGCTCCATTGAGCCTTGGGTGCCCTAACTGGAAGCTACACAGATCAAACTGACTTATTCTGAAGACTGTTGTTGTTCCGAATTGAAATCGTATCCCAGCCTTTAAGGCTACAGTAATATATAGACATCCATGACTTATGATCACAAATTTTCGCGGGAAGATTGAGCTCTGCTATTGTCTAAACACTGAAAAGGAAGATGTACCGATTAGCTCATGCCAGCAGATATGGTTTTACAATAATACTCGATTCGTCCCAAAAAATCTGAAGGGCGGAGGACGATTTATTCAAAGTCAGTAATGTCTCGCTGTTGATCGTCTGTTTACTCTTCATCTAGGCCCACCACGCCGAATCTGTATGCGTTTCTGGTCTCAGAATTTTTTAGCTTTAAGGCCGAACCGAAAGCCAAGTTGTCGCAGTGTGCCTGATGATATCCACCCCTTCAAAACTTTCGCAGACCTGCATACCTGCGCCAGGCTAGTTGATTAAAGTCTCCCCAAATTATTAATATCCAAGCCATTAACAGGCTTTGAAATACATTTGGTGCTGACTTATTTTAATACAAAGGTGACAAGGACTCACGTGGACGCCTTCATCCTTCTCCTCTAACGCGAATTTGTTTTGGCCAGTCGATTTCAGCTGGCTGCGGAAGGAGGCAAGGGATTGGCTTTCCTTCTTTTCGAAGCGGCCCATGTTCTCGGTCTTGGAGACCTTTTTGAGGACAGGTTTGACGCTGAAATAGGACAAGTATAAGCAAGTACCTTGTACGCAAAAAGTGCCAGGTTTTAATTCAATCTTAAAATTCGCATGGTAAATATACCCCTCGAGTTTACAAAATAGTCAATCATTCAGGTAAGTTCAAAAAGAGATCAGTAAATTTTGCGCTCCGTTCGACAAATTTGATGGCTCAATTACAAATATAATTTACTACTTTGGTGAAGCTTTTGTTTTTAGTAGCTTTATTATGGTAACAAAAGCGGGTCAAGGGGAAACTTACAATTTTCCTTTGACATCATTGACTTTGATTGTCAGCTCGTTGATCTGAAGAGATAAAATATGGTCAAGTCAAATAAACTGATATATAAGAAGGTTTACAGAGAATTAAGAAGCATCAGTTTGCCCCATCTTACCTCAAAGTCCTGTCGCCGAATCTTTACCTCCCAGTCATACTTATCGCCCTCAAGAGCCTTCATGCGTTCGTAGAGCTCCTTGATCTTCTTAATAACGGCGGCTACAAAAAGAAAGCGAAGGATATTTACTCGAAAATTAAGCGTGTTCTACTGGACAATAGACGCAGAATAAAAAACTTTGTTCGCCCCCCCCCTCACAGGAGGGTGGAAATCTATCTTTGGAGTCCTCAACAAGGCAGGTAGACGTCAGTTGAATATTAAGTTAAAGAAATATGTAAATAGAATACACTAGTATGGCTTGGTTACGCTGCTGGCCTGAGCGTGGGGGTCAGAGCAGTCGAGCAAAGGAAGTTATGTCGTTTCACTGCCATTTCAACCGAACCGCGGTTCAGATTGAATCTGTTGACTACCCGTTTACTTATGAGTGGCGGAAAACGCCAAGTGAATGAGTGCTGATCAGTAAAAAATGTTATTGTCTTAATGACTAGTTTTTAGGTTGAATTCACTACAGTATCTTTTAGTAAGCCGCGCCAAAACTCATAGGGCTCGTCTACCAGTTCGTGAAAACAACGAGCCCAAATCCAAAACAGACCCACGCCGCTGTTTGCGCAAAACGCTTCAACAAGCTTCGATGCCAGAAAACTTTTATAATTTTCGCTGTCCGCCCATAAGAAGTGTTCCAAGCAAGAGGACGTTCAAATGAAAACGAGTTGAATGACAGGCGTTCAGTTATGCTTAGTGTTTTATGGGTTGAAGGTAAAACGTAAACCTAGCCCGACCATTTGGTCTCTCTTCTTATTTTAATTATGAACTGTCAGTTGTCTTCCTCCGCCCAAAGATAAAGCGGCGATGCCTGTTACTTCTTTGCACTCAGTACCAACACGTGAACGCCATGACTTTTAAGAAAATATGCCTTGTAGCGGACAGCTAGGTCAAAGATAAGGATATACCCCCAAGTACGGCGGCGCAAGCCTGGCTCTAATAGGGGAATAGTAAAAAAGCGGCTTTACAGATGGTTTAAAGAGATGGATGAGATGTTTGAAATTAAGTAGTAAATTAGAAAAGTATATTTATGAGAAATTCTTGTTTTGATATATTGAATTACTGTGAATTCGACTGTACGCAATATCAGAGGAAAGCTTGTGGTCTCACAAAGAAAATTTTAAAAATCCGTCTTTTGGAAATGGCTAAGTAGGTGATCCGGAAACAGAACAGCCAACCGGTTTTCAGGCAGGCTGTCAAGATCCTATATCTAAAATCCTTCATGACCAGCTTCTCCTTATTAGACGTGATGCAGCGCAATAGTTTTAGGGTGTACATCTTCATGTGTTCCAATAGCTGAAGTAATCAAACCTTGATAAGTTACTGCAAGTGAACAGAGGTAAGTAGCGGCGGCAACGAAATTGTAGTTAATTCTTACCGTCATCCATGCCTTCAAGAGACAGGGGTTGCACCTTTGAGCGCAGGTAATTTTCCTTCTCCTCTTGACGCCTCTTCATTTCATTTCGCATCTCATCAGCCGCCTTTTGCATGATAAGTTGCTGAAATTTGAATTTTAAAAAAATGTCAAGACTTTACAAATGTGGAAAGATTTCAAAGAATTCAGAAAATTGAAATTCCCTACAAAATTGCAGAGTTATTTCCTGGTAGGAAAATATTAGATAATAAATCTCTTATCACAATCGATCATGAGATTATCGTGTATAAGTCTTTAAAAAAGTAGGCCCACGTTGCTCAGTGGCTAAACTAACGACAGAACACCATCACTTAAGCAACTGCAGAAGCGAATTGCGAACAGCCCTGCATCAATACTAAAGAGTCAAACAAAGCCTTACTATCTGCACGAAGTGCATATTTTCTACTTGGGCTTTGCCAGAGCTTTCTTAGGCAGTGGCAAAGAGTCTGGCAACATCCGTGAGGATGAAGCCAACACAGTGAAATATGCAAGTTTACCAACCTTGAGAAGCTTCTTCTTTTCGGGTGACAAACCACCAAGGCCCTTCCTCTTCTGGCCAGGTTTGCGTGTCTTCTTGGCGGCTTCCTCGGCCTCGCGTTTTGCCTTTTCCTAAACACAGATTAAGCAAAACAAAATAAATGTGATGCAACCTGGATAGCAATAATAGAGAGTTCATAAAGCGGGATGCAGAGGCAAGCGGGCATTAGAGTTGGACAGTAAGCGGGGTTGCGAGATTTGAGGCCCTTAGTAACATCGGCAGACCATGTAAGCCAGCAGCGTGTGTCTCGTCATGTGTGCGGCGTAATAAGCAGGTGCCCGTTTTAGGATATGTGTAGATGTACAATATGAGACGTAACATGCGACAAGAAGTTTGCAATTGCCTAGATTGCTTCAATTCGGAATTATTTCCAAACTTCTCGTTCGCAGTCGACTATATCGACATCTTTAACAAAATTAACCTTTATCTTTTGGTCTTTAAAAAAGGCCTCTATTCGATTGAGCCGCCATCTTCTGATCAATATAAGAAGTATAATAAAGACGAGCAAACACAGTTTCCCGGCGTTCAATTCATAGTTGAAATGCCTCCCAACCAAGAACTATTTGCCCTTGTATGTACCTTTTATTTGGTTCTAGCAAGCTTTTTTTCAAACTGCACCCGAAACTAAAATCATTAGGCATTCTAATTGTTACATGTGTGTACAGATGTTCGATTGCAGATTTATATGTGCGTATATGTATATATGGTGGTCGGAGGAAAAAGGTGCAGTGATGAAAAGCTGAGCAAGATTCAGGTGCCCTTCATCAAGTAAGCGGGAGCACGGGTAGACTTAATGAAGCACACGGGTAGCGTAGGGACACCGCATAGACCCTAGACGCCACCAAGCGCTGAAGGGTGCTTTGGGCTTCAAGAGCAGGCGTTTCAAGGATCGCTTGGGTCTGCCATGCAACGGCCAATCAGCTTTGTGTGCGTGTGCATGAGCGCGTGCGGACGAAGTCTTAAGAAACTACCTCCTGCTTCTTCTGACGCTCAGCTGCAGCCTAAGTACGTCAACAAGGAAATAAAGCGTGAGTTGGTTGTCTCCTGATCGTGTTTCGTGCTAATAATAATACGTCTTGCCAACCAAATGGTTTTCAAGGCCATGCCGTGCGATGCAATTGCATTACATTGCTCAAGTCTGCTCAAACAGTGCCATTCCTGAATTAAAATTCGCATGCAGGGATAAAGGACGCATGCAGATACATAGAGGAGAACAAGGCCAAAGACGGGTGGTATACTGAAAGCCTAACAATTCGTTGAAGGTGACTGTCCTGAGGATAAGCACCCAGTTGCACTCAGTCGTCATAGCTTCCTTCGACGTGACTCACAAGGGGCCGATCGGAGTCAGAGAGGAGAGGAGAGGGGAGGGCTGAAAATAGATGCGTTAACATGCGCTTTAGGGAGCAGCGTGCTGAGTGGGTTCAACGGCCTACACATCGGAAAATTCCAACCGAGGGAGAGAGAACGAGAAGCTTGTGCCCTTGAGGTGCGTCTCTTATTGGCTGTGGGAAAGGTGCTTCGACAGGGAGAGGCTCCGGCAGCCGCGCCTGCGCCAGGCTCGCGAGGCATAAAACAACGCAAGTGCAAAACAATTGCTGCGCTTCGCTCGATCACTTTGAACTGGAAGATCTGCGCATTTGCCCAGGCTTCTGGGTAGAATTGCAGGAAAATATGCGCACAAAAAAACTAAAATGGACATTCAGGTGACAGATGGTGGGACGTGTCGGGGAGCTTTCCCCGGCCCCGGGGAATTTACGATCAGGCTGTCGAAAGAAACCATGCACATGCACCAACCTCTACGCGTCTTGCCTCTTCCTCTCTCTTTTTGCGTTCTTCCTGAAATTCGTGAAAACATTTAAGGAAATTATTGTTTAGCACATTCTGACGGGAAGGGCATAGGCAAATTGTTACGTTCAATCGCTGCACGCCACGTGTCTAGAAGTAGGAGTTAAAGCCCATTAACTTGCCTTCTACAGCTCAGGGGAGCGTCGGTAGAAAATGCAAATAATTCAGTTTAGGACAGATGCACCTTTGGCCCTAGTTAATTTGCCAAAGGCAGGGATCATAGACTTAAGTAAATAAGACACCTCTACCATTTTTATGTAGTATTGAAGGCGAGACCAAACTTTTCACGTAGCCACTTGAAGAACCAAACAGACGAATGTTGGAGAGCTATAAAGTTATTTAGCTATCAGGCGACTAGTACCAACAACCACCTCTTACTTAATATAGATATATATATTTTTATTTTAGTGACGGGGAGACAGTTTCATTCAAAGGCAAACAAATAACAGGACTTAGACTGCTACGCACCTGTTCCTTTTGCTTCTTGGATTCATCCTGAAATGTAATAGGTTTTGTAAATTACCTTGCAAAAAATATATATTAGGAAGGTGCGCTGTTGCACGGACATTGCGTATGAAACGAGGCAACCAACATCGAGCATGCTACTATCAGTGACATGAATTCGTTAGGCGAACATTTTGTGGTGTATTGGCCAGACTGGAGCAACTGTTTCACACCCATCCAAATCAAATGCGTGAACACATCGAAGATGCAGATGGTAATGGACCAACTTATGCATGAATGATAGCCCTTCCGGCCCCAGTTGAGAGCACAATTATTAGGGTACACTGAACTGCTGTCTGGGGGGATCAACACTGCTAAACCTGACAAAAGTAGCAAAATTACTCAATCTTGGGTAAAACTACTGAAGAATACGGCGTGGTCAGTGAGACTAAAATGCATGCCCCAGTAAACACACGTGCACTTTGTCGGCACTTTATGGCTGACCTCTACAGGAAACACATTTACACACATATGATCAAAGAAATTACCTCCGACTCGACCTACAAAGATGAATTCATGGGGGGACATTACTTAGTATAAACTGTCTATGTAAAAATGCAATGTATACCACATTTCATGCAAATCCTCCGAATTCCTACAGAAGTCGAAGCCAAGCGAGTTACACACTAACGGACAGATATATAGTACGTTACAATTACGTTACACAAATGTGACAAACGACGGAGGTTAATTAATAACCATCTCTGATAAGGCACATTTGTTTAGAAGCCATTCAATTTCAGCAAGCTCAATCGGGTAATAAAAATGCTACAGTTATAATTATTTTTATTTAAAAAGCACATCCTCGTTGTTGCTCTCAATCATCCAACTTATGTGTCAGGCTCTCTGACCTCACGTAGGATAGCAGACAGTAATAAGAAAAGCATGCTAACAAATATTTCTGATATATCGCAAGGCCTATCACAAGAAACTACAATGAGACGATTCCACGAAGATTCTAATATTCAACATTAAGCACACTTGCAGACATAAAGGAAGACGTCTATATATACATTAAAGGTAAAATATTCCTTGGACACGAAATGTACCTTCAGCAACAACAAGATGCATAGTTAGATTTTATATTATGATGATTTAAGTTATACCACGCACTCTTGGTTGTGAGAATACCTATCCTACGGGCAGAGTATATGTTTTCTATAGGATTTATGTTCGATATGCAGTAAAAGCAACCTATCGTCCGTGTTTAAAATTAAACAGTCAAGACGGCAATGTGAGGTAAAGTTATCTAAAAATTTTCTGTTCACTGGAAGGCACAAAGGGATAACAATTAATAGTAGATGAGCCTGGAAATTAGTGATGGTATCCTCTATGTAAAGACTATTGGCCTCGGTCGGCATCTCAGATATTTCAGGTCACAGATAGCTAGCATATAATAATAACTAACTCAAGGACAGTCAATAATCGATACTTTTCAAGCAAGTCTGCTATCCGTGTTTGTTAATAGTATCCAGAGTTTGATAGTGAGATACTACAGATTCAGAGGGAGCAACTTAAAAGACGCCCAAATGCTGCTCATATTAATTTAAAGCGGACTTCCTTCGTAAACTAATTGAGTGTTTCACCCTAAAGAAAGCTTCTCATTAGAAGCCTTTAAAGAGGTTGACATAAAACTTCGAAGGCGACCCATGTCCGCTTACTTACATCACACCTTGTACAGTCATTAATATGTGCACACATGGAGGAAAACCCTTCTGGGACTTCATCTCGCCTTCAATAGGGAATAATATTGAAAGTTAACTCTATACGATGTCAAGTCAATACATATCCAAAAGAAAATGGAAAAAATAAACCAACAAATAACTCGATTAACACAACAGAAAACCGAAAACGGTTATGTTTCAGACCATTGAAACCGAAGGATCGTGTACACGTAGAGCCAAAAACTTTTTTTAACTCACCTCAGACTCCTCCTCAGAACCCTGATTGTTAAAGCAAAATAAAGCTCACTGAATAGAGCAAATTGTTAACAAAGCACTATAAGCTAATGTCTGCTAAATCAGAAGGATTACCTCCGTGGCTCTGTGAGTTAAAGGTAGTTAGGGATGTTAAGAGCAGTTACTATCTCATTTACAGAGATTTTCACTAAATATTTGCAGCTTTTATAAGAAGAAATATCATTTCATGTTAAATAATAATAGCAATATCCTCTATGTTAGAGATTTATATCCCATATTTCACAAGTTAAGACACTGTTTTGCCTACCGCCTCTCATCGTATACAAGGCATGGGCCGAGTGAAACTTTTGCGGTAGAGGAGAAATCGTGTAGGAAGCCATAATTATAATTTTCGTTTTAGCCTACTGCGGTCAAACTGAGAAAGCTGTTTGCAGGAACACATCTTTAATCTGAGCATACAAGAACAAGTGCCCCTGGTGGTCATACCCACACGAGTCCGGCGCCTACATTTGCATGGAAAAACCCTGCATTGTTAGCACCGTTCCGAAAAAAGCCGCTGATTTCTTACAAGCAATACACTCAGGTGCATCGACTTAAATGCACGGACAAAATTCTCAGAAAAGAGTGAACGTGGGCATAACCAATCCCGGCCGAGTGACCCAATACTGT